GTGCTCGGGGAGGGCCCAGCCCCCCACAGGACACGCTTGTGGACGCCGTGGAGAACGCCGAGGTCGCAGAGATCAAGCGGGCGGTGCCCCCCCCCCCCGCGCCTCCTCGCGGCGCGCCTCGTGCCCGCACGGGCATCCTTCCTCTCCTCCCGCCTGCTCTCCTTGTCCCCTCCCCTCCCTCCTCCCTCCCTCCATCGAGGTCTGCTAGATGGGATACGAGTAGATGGGGTCGGAGGATCGCGCCTCATCGCCGATGCATCGACGATGCAGCTCGATGTGTAGCCCGTGTTTCCCCACGCCGACGTCCCCGATGCATCGCCGACGTCGCCGATACATCGCCGATGCATCGCCGATACATTGCCGATGTATCGGCGATGCGGCGCGATCCTCCGACTCCATTTACGGGGCAGCTAGCGCGGCCGACCCACTCGAGGGCGCTCGGGCAAGTCGGCCTGTCTCGACTCGAGAAGGCTGTCGCCTCTTCCCCGCATCGTCCTGGTCTGCAGTTTTTCGGACCTCGAATCTCTTGAAGCCAGCTCGCCGCTCAGTTGTCCAGTGGCCCTGCATTTCATGTAGTTCGATGGATCCTTTGGCAGCCGCTTCATCCTCAACAGTGTGCCCCGTTAGAACTGGCAGCCGAGAGGTGCACCGCTTACACGCGTATGAGTATGCCGAGCACGCAAATGGGTGGGGGTGCGCCAGCTGTTTCGCCATCGACATGGATCGCGCCATTCAAGGCCTTGCTCAGGAGAGCTCGCACGAGATATCCTCCGAAGGCGAAAGCAATCTGCGCAAGCTCCGCAAGGGGCTGCTGCCAGGGGCTTCTGCCTGCGCGAAGTCCGTCGACGCGTGATGCACCCTGGATGAGCTGTGGTCCCCGCTCCTCCTCCTCCCCCTCCCCCCCCCCTCGCGCGCGCTGCCGCCCGCGCGGGACGTTGCTGGATCGGCAGGAAGGTCAGCAAGATGGGTGGGGGGAGGAGGTGGAGGCGGAGGTAGAGGTTGACGAGGTGGAAACGGGGGAGGGGGTAGAGGTGGAGTTAGAGGTGGAGGGAGGAGGTGGACGCGGAGGGAGGAGGTGGAGGTGGAGGTGGAGGGGCGGGAATGGAGGCGGAGGTCGAGGAGTTCTTCGACATCGTGCCACGCATGCTGTGTTCGGTGCTGCTGGTCGAGCGATGTCACGCGGGTGACCCCACGTCTCTCTCTCTCTCTCTCCCTTTCTCTCTCTCTCTCTCCTCGTTTTTGATTTGTGTGTTTTCTTGTTTTTTTGTTCCTATGTCTCCCTCTCACTCTCTCCCTCGTTTATTTATCTTGTCTCTGTCTCTTTAGATGTAGAGATACACCACAATCGTCGAATCACCTTCTTTATTGTTCGATATTCCCCAACACGAGCCAGTGATCGTTCGAACGAAAACTATCCTACCCCTCCGCACCCGCATGGCATAGAGTGAGTCGAGCGGCATGGCAATCGATCAGCGTATGTGCCTTGTGTTGGATAAGGGCACTGCCATGCGTCGCTACCGCACCGGACCCTGGGAATTCACGCGTGTTCGTGCCATTACGGCATCCTGGGGGACTCGTTTCTCGTCGCCGTGACGCCGTCTCAGACGAGGGCCATTGTGATGATGATCCTGCTGCTGGTATGATGACGATGATGATGATGATGATGATGATGATGATGATGATGATGATGATGATGATGATGATGATGATGATGATGATGATGATGATGGTGATGATGATGATGATGGTGATGGTGATGGTGATGGTGATGGTGATGGTGATGGTGATGATGATGACGATGATGCTGATGCTGATGCTGATGCTGCTGATGATGATGATGATGATGATGATGATGATGATGATGATGATGGCGACGATGACGATGGCGATGCTGATGACGGTGGTGGTCATGATGCTGGTGCTGATGCTGATGCTGGTGACGATGGTGTTGCTGATGCTGATGGTGTTTCTGGTGGTCATAAACATGATGGTGCTGATGACGATGATGATGTGATTGTTGACCTCTCACTTCTTGACGGATACTTGCCTATGGTCTCCATCATTGGTAACCTTCATGTTTTTCAAGTGAAAGCCCCCTCCCGAGAACGCCTTGGGGCTCAAACGGCGCCCCTGGGACCTCGTTTGCAGCAACAACAGCTCCCGCCTGAGACTTCCTCGCAGTTTATTCAAGAATCGCGCTCTCGTCTGGTAAACCCACATATTATGCACGAGGGCGCTGGGCGAAGCACAAGTCAATAAGGCTTCGAAGTTTTACCAAGGCAACGATGCTTCAACGCCCGCGCTGAATTCAAATTTGCCACGCGTCCGAGGACAGCATCCAATGGGAGTAGCGGCGAACCTGTGACTGAAAACTGCTCCGCCCTCCGCCTTAGCAGGCACGACCATGGCGTCTCAAACCCAGGAACGCCTCTGGCGCGATCTCAGACAAAGCCTTGGTGTATATGGCGGAATCAAGAGGACCCTGTAGTAGATGGATTTCTAGGATTGAGAATCTCTATTGGGGGTTCATCATGGGTGGTGTCTGCGGGAGTGCTCGACGCATACAGGGAATTCAGATTGCGTGGCAACCGGGCGCGTCACATACACCAGGGGAGAGAAGACGTGCGTCTGTGCGGTCTTTGTGGCAATCCACTGGATTACGGTGTCTATTTGGGCCTTGTTCTTCGCAGGGCGGCCTCAGTCGCGGGCGAATGAGAATGTGGCGCAGGCGGTGGATCCGTAAGCACGGTGCGGGACTTTTTGTCCGCCCTCCAGATCCAGATGTTGGTGGCATAGCTAGAGCGGGTCCGCAATGTTTCCCCCCCTGGGTTGCCCACATAATCTTTGTATATGTGTATGTATATGTATATGTATATGTCTCTGTATATGTATATGTACATGTATATGGCTGGGCATTGCCTTATGGGCAATGCATTCTGAAACATATATGACTATGTACATGTAATTGTTTATGCGTGTGTACATGTATTTGTACATGCATATGTCTACGTGAGGATATACCTAACTGTGCATATTTATAGTCGCGTATGTATAGGTGTAGTCGTTACATGTTTTTTTTTGCGTATTTATGCGGATGCGTGTGTGTGTCTATGTGTATGCACATGGCTTTAAATACTCAAGTGCAGATGTGTATTCGTATGTATATGTGTTTTCATACGTGTATATATGTGTACATGTGTATGTATGCGTATAGAGATATATGTGCACAATTGCATGTATACGTGTACATGTGTGTATACAAGAGTATATGTATATGTTGGTGTATTTGTAAATGTTTCCGTCAATGGCTGTGTATATGGTATCGCCCACGTCTGCAGGTAAGTGCATGTCTGTGTACAAGTATATTCAAGTGTATATGTATGTGTGTATATATATATATAGCTTCACATATGCGTAGCTGTATATGTGTATCTGGTATCGTCTATATCTACAGGCATGTACATGTATATGTATAAGTTGATTTAAGTGTAAATGTACATGTGTAGTTATACGTATGTGTATATGTGTATGTTTATGTATGTGTATACGTACATGGATATGGACAGATATAGCTGTATATGCATCCATGTATGCATATGTACATGTATATGCAGATGTGCATGCATATGAACATGTATATGTATATGTATATGTATATGCATACGTATATGTATATGTATATATATGTATAGATATGTATATGTATATGTATATGTATATAAACGTATATGTATATGTATATGTATATGTATATTGATATGCATATGCATATGTACAGGCATATGTAGATGTCGATGTATATGTCCTCTTTTCTCTGCCCGCCTCTCCCTCTCCTCCCTTCTCCCTCCTCCTTCCCCTCCTCCTCCACGAGGGCCTTCTCCTGGAGGCACTCCTTCGCCTCCGTTCCCCCCCGCCCCATCTCGAGGTGTTCAGGGCCTTGACCCGGCTGCGCGCGGCGACCATCAAGGAGTGCCGGTGACTCCCCGCATGCCCACCCGTCCATTGGACGTTGCCCTACTGTCCGCCTTGCCCGCTACCCTTTCCGCGCCGATGTCCCCCAGGGCAGGGGAGAGGGGGAGCAGGAGGAGAAGGAGGAGGAGGAGGAGAAGATGGGATGAGGAGGAGGAGGAGGAGGAGGAGGAGGAGAAGGCGCAGGAGGAGGAGGAGGAGGAGGAGGAGGCGCAGGATGAGGAGGAGGAGGAGGCGGAGAAGGAGGAAGAGGAGGAGGAGGAGGAGACAGCTGTCACATTCAATCTGTTACGTATCCAGCTGCTTGCTGCAAGTTCTGCCACCGTGCTAGCCCAGCGTATTGTGTGGTGACGCTTGGAGCACCGCCCAGAAGGCGGCAACATGTGACACCTCTCGTCTTTGTTCCTTGAAGGGCTCCTATTTCTTGCAGATTGGGAGGGGGGGTGCATGCAGGTACGCGTAAGGAGAGGGGGGGGCGGCGTCCCTTAGAAGACTTGCACAGGCCCTAGCAGACAGCACTTGGTATTCTACTACGCCTCAGCGTGCCAGGGGGCACGGTGGTGGTCAGTGGGACTGAAGGTGAACTCTTTCGATGGTCTATTACCCTATCTTACGCTCCAGATTTGGCGTGCCACCAACATTGAGGCACGTGTCTTCAATTTACCCTCCACTGTTATTCCCGATTGTAGGATTGCACTTCTCAGACAGTCGCGTTTTTTGGTGCTGTATCCACGCGCTTGGCTCATTCCGCTGGCCCATGTTCCAGTATCCTTGTCACTTGCCCGTGTCTTCGCGGGGACCTGGAAGTTATTGGGTTGTGTCATTTCCCCAATCTGCCGTGTGAAGCTCGCATTGTGAAGCAGATACTTTGTAGATGGAAGGGCGACGCTTTGGCCTTGTGTCCATCCCACCACCGTGCCTGGGTTGTGGGTCTGAGGCCTCTTGGATGCATGTGAGGGTCTCTTGGGATGCCTGTGGGGGGCCTTTTGGAAGGGGGCTTGTCTTGGGGGGCCTCCACAGGGAGCCTCTTGGGAATCTTCTTGGGAGCCTGCCCCCATGGGGGACCCTGGAGCGCGCGTCCAGGACTACTGGCATCCGGGAGCTGGACCGCCCGGGACCTCCAGGGGCCGCCATGCGCGCGCGGTGTGTACACGAGCGACAGGCCAGAACCCAGAGATGTTCTAGCACGCCTTCGGCCCGGTGGGCCAGCGGCTTTGCCGGTAACAGCGCATGCGTAGGCTGACTCGGGTTGCCGTGCCTTCGCTGGTGCCAGCTCGGTATTTTGTCTCTACTGCCGGGTGGGTGAGGTGCGGTGTCGGCGCAAGCTTAGCAAGGTAGCGCACAGGCCGATGTGATTACTTCTCGCGTGATCTCCATTGGGCAGGACACCTTTTCTTGACATTGCTGAGCACCTCACCTCAACCCCTCGCCCTTCCTTCGTCATTCGAGCTTGGTTTGATGGTAGCCGCAAGAATAGACCAGCAAGTTCATCGTGGGACTGCATCAGGCGTTTTGGTTCGGCCAGACAGCTTGGTCTGCGCTTGGGTGGAACTTTTCCTGGGTCTCATCTCGTGGGCGCAAAAAAAAGCTGGCTGGTGCTCGGGGGCTTCCTCAACAAGCAGACTGCATAGTGCTTCAGCGTATCTGACGTCTTGTTGAGAACCAATCCTGGACCTGTCATCACGGTTCCGCATAGAGGTGTGGCGTTGGAGTGTCTTCTCTCGGCGGCGGTGCGACCGATGTGTCGCTCGCTCTTCGCGTTACCTTGCATCATGTCCTTTGGCCAGGAGGGCAACCACCAATCCATCATCGTTATCAATTCCAGAGTTTCCATCGCTACCCTCGCGACGACATGTGTATATCCATCGTCGTCGTCGTGGTCGTCGTGGTCGTCGTCGTCGTCGTCGTCGTCGCCGCCCCTCCGTGTGCGCAGGAGTTCGACACCATTGCCCGCTTGGAGACGCAGGTGGGCGTCCTTCGTGTTTTCGTAATGCGCTGTTTACGGCCAGGATGAGTGCCACCCCCCAGTTCTCCCCATGCTTCCGAGGGGCGACGGGTCGACGAGGCCGTGCGTGCTTGCATCCCGAGAGGGCCGAAGACCAGCCGTTGGCTCGAAGCCAGGCCCCGCTGCCCCAGCATGAAAGGTCTGAGCAGGATTGGGTGTAGGCTGTTCGGGTGCGGGGCTGCAAGGTGTTCCGTTTGGTGCCGTCTTGTTTCTCTTTGAGATCCCACACTGCGCCCAATCGAAGGAGCCAAGGGCTGGAAGTTCCGAAAGTGTGTCGTTCAGGGCCCGGTCTCTGCCTGAGGAGGCACTCCCCATTTTCTCCTCGACCGCCTGTGCGAACGCCATTTGGGCTTGGGGATGTGCAGGCGGACCAGAAACAAAAACCCAAGATGCATCAGCAACGCTGCAATCAGCCCTTCCGTCCCAAGTCTCCACCTGATACGTCCCTGCAAGCTTTTTTTTTCCCTACCAGGGTCGCCCCCTTGAAATAGCAGCAGCGTATGGGCCTGCAGTTTTGGCAAGGCTCCGTTTTGTAAAAGTGATTAACCCGAGTAAGCGATTAAGGAACCCCCCCCCCCTCTCCGGTGAAAGGATAACGCACCCGGCACCCGGAAGCGTTATCCTGGCACCAGGAGGGGGTACACCAGATTTTCTCAGCTTTCCTTAGCTTTCCTCAGCTTTTCTCAGCTTTTTCTTAGCTTTTCTAAGCTTTTCCTTAGCTTTTCTCAGCTTTTCCTTATTCGTATTCGTATTCTTATTCTCATTACAATTCTAATTGGGATGCCACCCGAGGCGGGGCGCTGGAATTATTTATTTTCTTTCCATTTGCGCGGTGCTAATAATATCGCTCGGCGAAAACCCCCCCAAATAATTATTTAATTACGGCGCGGTGCTAATGATAACGCCGGGGGGTTCCTTAATTGCTTCTCCGGGTTACCTTGCATCAGTTTGGCGCGTTCTCGGGTAATTACGCAAGAAGTTGTGATCATGCAATTCATGGAGGTGTCCAGCGAGACGCCCTATCGAAAAAGGGCCGCCCCCTCATCCGTGCGGTTATGGCGCACGTTAGCTTTTTTGGCCGTCACCGTCGAAGAAGTCGCAGGCGAGAGCTCCACAGCGAGAAGGAGCTGCCCTCGATCTGTGTTCAAACGAACGAATGTGCGCGGCGCCAGGGCGAGAGCCACATTTCGAGAACGACACCCTCCATCCATGACATTTCCAGCAGTTCCGAGCGAATGCGCGTGGCGCTGAGGCGAGGGCCCAGATGTTCAACAAGGAGCCGCCTCCACCTTCGGAGCTATTGCGAATTTCGAGACATGAGCGCGGCGCTGAGGCGAGAGTTGCACTTTGAAAACGGCCCGCCCTCCATCTTTGAAGTTATCAAGAGGCTTACAGTCGGGGCCCTGAAGAAGGAACCCTTTTCGTTGGGGAGGGGCTCCGCGTTCCTTCAGTGTTTCACAGCTTGCCTCAGGTGTTCCTTATGTTTTCGATAGGAAATCGAAGTTTAACTTATGGAAAAAAGGGGCCTCGTTCCTCATATTTAGGGTCACTTATATTTAGGGTTCCTTATATTTAGGGTTCCTTATATTCCGGGTTCCTTTATGGAAAAAAAAAGAGCCTCGTTCCTTATATTTGGGGTTCCTTAGGTCAACGCCCCCACTGCACGCTAGTCCGCCGACCCCCCTTTGCATCGCAGTGAATTCGTCAAGGGTCGCGCCACCGTGCCTGGCCTGCGGGTCAGGAGCCTCGGGGATGCACACGAGGGTGTCTTGGGATGCTTGTCAGGGGGGCCTCTTGGAGGGTTTTGGGGGGGGCATCTGGTTGGCTTCTGGGGGCCTCTCGTGGGCCTCTTGGGGTCCTCTTGGGTGCCTCCTGGAAGCCTCTTGGGGTCTTGTGGGGGCGCCTCTAGGGTCACTCTTTGTGGCCCTTCTGGGCCGTCTTGGGGCCCCTGGGGCCGTCTTGGGGCCTCTTCGGCCTTCTTGGAGCTCTGGTGGGCTGTCTTGGGACCATCTTGGGGGCTCCTGGGGCCGCAGCGGACGCTGTCGACACATGTGCGTCTCCCCAAGGAGGTGGGACGCTTTTTGCCTCTTGAGGCCCTCTCGGCGGCCCTCTGGGAGCACCCTGAGGGCCGTCTTGGGGGCCTCGCAGGCCGTCTGGAAGCCACCTCGGACCGTCGCGGGGCTGCCCTGGGCGCCGTCTCGACAATCTCTCTCTCGGACTGCCTCGGCGCTCATCGGGCCTTTTCCAGCGGGTTCCGGAGAGCCCTCGGGGAGCTCCTGTCCCTTCCCTTCCCCCCCCCCCGCCCCCCCGAGATAAGGTGTTGCTGTGGCCCGTTGGTTGTTAGTGCGGCCCGGTGGGTGTTATCATGGCCAGGCTTCTTCCGGAGGGTATTAGTCAACGAGTACGGTGAGGGGGGGGTCTCCGAAGAGCCTCCTCCCACCCCCCCTTTCACCGAAGAGCCTCTCGGAAGAGCCTCTGGGGCTCTCCGAAGAGCCTCTTCGAGCCGCCGAAGAGCCTCTTCGAGCCGCCGAAGAGCCTCTTGGAGCGGTCGAAGAGCCTCTTGGGCTCTCCGAAGAGCCTCTCGAAACTCCCTCCATGTCGCTTTTCGTTGCAGCCAGGTCTCCGTTTTGAGCCTACGTGTTGGGCCACGTTCCGTGTGGCGTGTCGCGCATCGGGGCAGCTAAGCCCAGGAGTCCACGAAAACGTCCCCCAGAGGTCTCCAAGGAGCCCTCCAGAGGCTTCCAAGGAGCCCTTCAGAGCCTCCCATTCCTCCGCGCTCCATCGCCCTCCTCGGCACTCCTCTGCACTTCACTCCATTCCTCCTCCCCCCTCTCCGCACTCCTCCCCACTCCTCTGTATCTTTCCGCACTTCACCGTGCTCCTCGGCATCCCTGCCCACTCCTCGAAACTCCCTCCATTTTGCTATTTAGCATTCTTCCCCACTCCTCTGGAGTCCTCCCCACTCCATGCACTACTCCCTCCACCTCCCCATTCCATGGCACTCCTCCTCCTGCCTCCTCCTCATTCCTCCCTCGCTCTCCCTCCTCCCTCCTCTCTCCTCTCTCCGTCCCTCCCCATTCCATTGCACTCCTCGGCACTCTTCTGGAGTCCTCCCCACTCCATCGCATCCCTCCGTCTGCCCATTCCATGGCACTCCTCGTCCTCCCTCTTTTCCTCTTCATTTCCTCCTTCTCCCTCCCTCCTTCCCCCTCTTTCCCTCCCTACCATTACGACGACGACTACTACGATTGTACCAGTACGAACTACTCGCTACTAGCTACGAGCCAAGAGCTACTAGCTACTAGCTACTAGCTGATAGCTACTACTATTGTTATTACTTCTACTATTATGATGATTACTACTACTACTACTACTACTACTACTACTACTACTACTACTACTACTACGACTACTACTACTACGACTACTACGACTACTACCTCTACCTCTACTATTACTACTACTACTACTACTACTACTACTACTACTACTACTACTACTACTACTACTACTACCACTACTACGGTTTCGACGACGACTACTACTACTACTACTCGTACTACGACTACTTCTCTTACCACTACTACGGCTACCACTGCTACTAGTACTAGTACTAGTATTGGCATTACTACTACTACTACTACTACTACTACTACTACTACTACTACTACTACTACTGCTAGTATTACTAGTACTACTACTACGACTACTACGATTACGACTACTACGACTACTACTAGTACTAGTACTACTACTGCTTCTGCTACTACTAATTACGACTAACTACTACTACTACTCCTACTACTACTACTCCTACTACTACTGCTACTACTACTAGTGCTACTACTACTACTACTACTACTACTACTACTACTACCACAGCTGCGACTACGACTACGACTACGACTACGGCTACGACTACGACTACGACTACGTCTATTACTACTACTACTACTACTACTACAACAACTACTAGTACTAGTACTAGTAGTAGTACTACTACTACTATTAGTACCCGTAGTAGTACTACTATTACTATTACTATTACTAGTACGGCTACTACTTCTGCGTCTACGGCTACTTCTTCTTCTACAACTGTGATTGCTACTACTGCTATTACTACTACTACTACTACTACTACTACTACGACTACTACTACTACCTCTACTGCGACTACTGTTACTACTACTACTACTACTCCTACTACTACTTTTACTACTGCTACTACTGCTACGGCTACTACTACTACTACTACTTCTAGTAGTAGTACTGCTACTATTATTATTATTACTACTACTACTACTACCACGACTTATATTATAACGCAAATAGTGCATACTAGTGAAGATACGAAGCATGACACGAATGATACGAAACTGGATAACAATCAACCAGCATAGTCCGAATTATAATCTAACGCATACCAAGAGTAATCATACACATAGAAACACGTATGGTCTTAAGACGAATGTTAAGAACACTCCGACACATAATAATACCATCACTACTACTAATACTGACACTAATATTATGATCACTCAGCGTTATCACCACAGAGTTAGTCAGCGTATGATTATTACATAGTAATAATAAAACTAGTACTAATAATAATAGCAAAACTAGTAAATGTGCAAACATGACCATACTTACACTACGAATGCTGATAGTCATCATACTCATGCTAATAATAGAAATACTCATAGTAATACTACGAATAATAATACTTCCACGGCTAATATTACTTATAAGACAATGCGAATACTAATATCAGCATAAACGATGATACTAATAATAATACGTGTTGATACTACTAACACTACTCACATTAATAGTACTACTAGAACACTTTTAATACTATCACCTGCCCTTATTATCATAAGAGGAGGAGGAGGAGGAGGAGGAGGAGGAGGAGGAGGAGGAGGAGGAGGAGGAGGAGGAGGAGGAGGAGGAGGAGGAGGGAGGAGGAGGAGGAGGAGGAGGAGGGAGGAGGAGGAGGAGGAGGAGGAGGAGGAGGAGGAGAGGAGGAGGAGGAGGAGGAGGAGGAGGAGGAGGAGGAGGAGGAGGAGGAGGAGGAGGAGGAGGAGGAGGAGGAGGAGGAGGAGGAGGGAGGAGGAGGAGGAGGAGGAGGAGGAGGAGGAGGAGGAGGAGGGGAGGAGGAGGAGGAGGAGGAGGAGGAGGAGGAGGAGGAGGAGGAGGAGGAGGAGGAGGAGGAGGAGGAGGAGGAGGAGGGAGGAGGAGGAGGAGGAGGAGGAGGAAGAAGGGTCGGAGGAGGAGGAGGAGGGGGATGTGGACGAATATGATGGGAAAGAACTCGACTACGACGACGGCTATGGCCTGCAACAGCTGACAAGCCAGGCCATCGACGCGTACAACGACGCGCACCACTACCGCGCCGAGAATCCCCTCGCGCACCTGCATGAGGACGAGGCCCTCGGGAGCGGGTCGCCGGCTTTAGTCGCCGCCGTGGCCGCCGCCCTTCTTCCTCCTCCATCGGAGGGTGCTGTCTATGCACCTACACCGACCGTGGCCAATGCCGATCCTGGGCTCGGCATCGGTGTATAACGCTTTCCTGGCCAAGCCAGGCGGGCGTCTACACCGATCCTGGGCCCAGTCTGGGCGTGGCCAGGACAGGTGCAGGGGTGTAGGTTGCGCCCTCCTGCTCCGCTGAGCTCCCTCGTCTTGAGACATCGCGACGGCCATGGTTCGAGGTTTTTGGCGCTCGGGGCCGCTTTCGGGCCCCATAGCAAAGACAGGAGAGACGCCAGCGGCGGAGAGCTGGTCCAGGGGGTGGTGGTCGAGGGCTGTGGGGGCTACGCGCGCATCAGAGAGATCCGAGGGACTTTGCTCCCGCTGTCGGCCCCCCACTTTCGACCGAGTGCGTAATTGGGTGAGTTGGGCTGGTTAGCTGGATGGCGGCTGGGAGGTTGGCATCTCGGTTGGTTGACTGCCTGGCTGGCTGGCTGGTTGGCAGGTGCGTAGGCTAGCAAACTGGGACTGTGTTGCCGAAGCGCTGGCTGGCAGACTTGTTCGCTGGCTGACTGGAAGGCTGGCTGGCGGGTTAAGAGCGCGTGCCCGTTTTTTTCTAGGGATCGTGGCCTCGAAGGTGCGGACCCGTTGTTTTTTAGAAGGGATCGTGGCCTTGAAGGTGCGGATCCATAGTTCCCAACCATCCTGTGTTGAGCTGGGTCCTCGCCTTGTATCCGCAGCGCCCCGCGTCCCACTCCTCCCTCCTGCCGTTGCCCTCCGGACGTCTGTGCTTCAGCGCACACCTCACACGCCTCGTTGCCCGATAGGGAGCTCCACCGAGAGCCCCAGTGGCCACGTTCGCATGAGGGGTCATCGCCCATGTCGGCACATCCCTCACACGTCCCGTTGCCCCACAGGGAGCTCCACGGAGGGCCCCAGTGTCCACGTTCGCATGAGGGGTCATCGCCCATGTTGGCACACCCCTCACACGGCTCGTTGCCCCACAAGGAGTTCCACCGAGGGCCCCAGTGGCCACGTTCGCATGAGGTGTCCTCGCCCGTGTCGGCGCACCCCTCACACGTCTCGTTGCCACATAGAGAGCTCCGTCGAGGGCCCAAGTGGTCACGCTTGCATGATCCCATGCCGGCACAACCCTTACACGCCTCGTTACCGTCTTGGAGTCATCTGCGGACTCTGTCGGCCAGTCTTGCGGGCATCTAGTTCGGGGTAAAAGCCACGCGACATCACGCGAGCGACCCAGAGACATCTGGCAATTTTTCTAGTGAGCCACTTTCTGACAGCAAACCTCTTCTGAAGGCAAACGTTTGTGCCTTCAAGAACAATGCCTTCGGCACATGTTTGTTCCTTCAGTGCACAGTTTTGCCTTCAGCGAGGTTTTTCACTCAGTGAGTGTTTGCAGTAACTCGATTTTGGGGATTGAGGAGTCTTGGGGGCCCGAGGACAACGAGGACAAACCACTCGGTAACTCGCGCCGTGACAGATTGTGATTTCTATTCCCGCAGGGGCGGCTTGTGCTATCGTCGTCAGGGTCACAATGATTCACCCAATTCAGATGTCAGAGTTTGTAACTGATTCGTACACTACACGTGGGGTGGGATCTGATTGCCAGACCTTTCAAAAACCATGGCCAATCTATGCATAGTTCCACTGTCGTTTACGCAGCAACCGTTATCAGAGCCACGGCTGCTAGCACTTTGGCTGTGCGTCTACGTACGTTCTTGCTTTTATCGACTTGCATTTTCCCAGTGTGATTGAACATGTGTTTCGAAGAGTTTCGAGTAGTAGTGTAAGCAAGTTGTTCCGAGCTGGTTGTTTACTGGGGGTCCACAAGAATGGGCAGTAGGCAGGCAATCAAGACAAGCCTTGAACCCCGCTGATCCCCGCCTCATGTGCAGGCCCCGGTGGAGACGGACAAGCTCAAGTCATTCCATTGAGTTCCTGTGTGCGCCGCCCTGTCTTTTTCCCTGCGTCTGCCTGCGCAGGCCAGGTCTGCTCCGGCTGCTCCCTGCTTCAATGATGTTGCCAGCGCGTGGTGCTCGTTTATTCCTCCGGACGCGTCACTTCGCATTAGACCGCAACCTGCGCCACTCAGGGGGACAGATGCAGAAAATGTGTGCGTCAAAAGCTCGTCATGTCCATGGCGGCGTAGGAGGCGGGGGTCGACTACGAGAACATTCGCGCGTAAGCTGCCCGCTTGTGGTGGCGCGTAAGCGCCATCTCTTCACACAGTCTGCCACGCTGGCGTCATGCGGGAGCCACCGCGTAATGTCTCTGGGTCTTCACGCGTACTAAGTACTTCATCCTTTACGTCGCCCCCTCTTCAATTGCAACGCTCGGCCGGCTTCACTGGCGCATTGCCTGCGCCTCAGGCTGAGAAGGGGTAGGGGAGGGGCAGGACGAGGACGAGGAGGAGGACAGCCACAGTGGCGAGGGTAAGGAAGACGAGGGCGAGGAAGGGGATGGAGGAGGACGAGGACGATGAGAAAGATTGTGACGAGAGACAAGGGGAGCCGCTGATTTTGCACCGGGTGAGCCCAGCACCAGACAGATCTCGGGCTATAGCAGGCTGCGGCTTCTCGCCGCCTCGGCCTCAGTGCGGGATGGGGCGCGCCCGGCCGGTACCGTGAGCTCGATGCTGCATGGAAGGAAGTCTCGGTCGAGATGTGGAGGCTCCTGAATTCGCCGCGCGCGTGCCGCGACTCGCAGAGTGCCTACTCGCAAATGTCTGAGCAACGCATGTCCGTTTTCGATGTAATTTATCGTAGATCCACCGCGGCGGGTCCAGGCCATCTGCGAGTAGTTACTTTGCGAGTCGTGGAACGCGCTCGTCTAGGAACCCCAGTCCCACACGACCAACAGACAATATACAGCACTGCTCTTTGCTGAAATGTTGCACCAGGTCTTCCCGGATAGCTCTCTTCTCTGAAAGCTAAGAAGGTTTCAGATCAGCAGCCTGCGGCACAGGGTGGCCCAGAAGCTCTTTCCGACGCAGTCAAGCAACCTCGCAGCAGGTTGCTTGAAATCGCAGCGTGCCTCGAGAGCGTTATTTTATTCGTTGTCAATGCGCGTGCTGGAAGTCTTCCCGCAGCTCCTTCGGAGCTCCTTGGAAGCTCCTACGAAGTTCCTTTCTCGAACCTAGCCAGTACTGCATAACTTTGTGGGTCCAGCCCGTTGCACGTCATTGGTGATCTTACTTGTCGGCACACCTGTTGCATGTAATTGCTAATCCTAGCCGTCAGCATACACGATATTCCGATGGATCGTTGGTGATGTTCAAACCAGATGTTGTCCGACATACCAGCAATTAATTACCAGCGAATGGACCGGTCGAACAAATATCAACGTATGGCCAAGTGTCCTAGCGTTGGTTCTCCGATTCTGCGAGGGAAGTCATTTGGAGATTTCTGCGTTCGCCTTCTTTTCCATTGCGTTACACGCCTAAATCTGCCATCCATGTGCCCATTCGCTGAAATTGGGTTGTTCCGTGTGTTCAGGAGGGCGAGTGCCAAGTGTAAGTTTTGACCATGCAAGTCGATCATTTCAGCCGCTCTCGTCTCAAATTGCGCCGGTTTTGCGGCCGCCACGCGTTAGGGGCCAGTGTTCTGACCAATTTTGAGAGACTTGAAACGGCCTCTGATATTCCGGGCAAGCCTTGCGAACTTCCTTATACATATAACGCGGGACCGGGTCCAGGGGCCGGGGGCCGGCGAGGCAATCGAGATTGATCTACTTATGTTGAATACGATATACCATGCAATTCCCGATCCTTATCGCGCTCTGTAAGTCTCGTGAATTTTGTGTCGCAATGTTGAAAAATATGTGGTATTTTGGTCGGTGGCGAGTGGTTGTGCGTCGTCTGGTGAAAGAGTACGGAAGAGGTAATCATTTTGGAATTGAGCAAAAAAATAGCGTGAGCCGCTTGGCTATATTGAGCGGCTTCGCCCTCTCGTCGGCCATGGTGGCCCAAATTGTGCTCATATATCTCACAGTGCCAAGCGGCGCTTCCAAGATTTTGATACCCCTATCCACCTGGTTGATTGAATTTCCATGCCAGAGCGGATGGACCCACCAAATGGCAAGTTTACCCAGATGGCAAGTTTACCAGTTTCTAGATCGGTATGGCATATATAGCACATAGTGTATGAAGGATACTTCGTCAAGGTCCTACACAAAATGCGTGACGTCAAGGTAAGCCAATGGAGCGATGGATGCCGTTGAATTGTTCAAACATGTTCGTCCAGCAGACGTGGTCGAATGCTCCGACGACAGCACAATCTATTTCGGATAACATTTATCTGTGAGGGAAAAATGTAATGCCAAGATGCCAATGCCAATTCGATCTGAAAGTCTGCAATTTTTGTGGACGCGCAGCAATCGAAAAAACGGAAAGACAACATAGCACCAATTTCCGTAAGACTTTGAATTTATTTTGGCCTTTTAGGGGCGTCCGTCGAGGGCATTTGGATGCGTAACGGAGGCTATCTTGAGCCAGTTGGCGGTGTTTGGGGTGATTTTGGAGGCCATGTTATCGCTCGCGAAGGAACGCGTACACACCCAAAGGGGGGGGGGGGAGGTAAACGTTCCGAGCCAAAAAATAACGAATTTGAGGGCTGGTGGGATTTAATGCCGCACCTCTGCCCCAGCTAGTCATTCCGCCCCATTATAAACGTATCAAAATCACGATCGTTTTCCAGACACAAATTGAAGTGTCCGTTTTGCCATCCCATAAGTTGGCATCGAGTTTGTTTCGAAATTGTTGACGTTTCGCGTATCCCCACCAGCCCATCCAGAAACGATGCCCAGAGGAAGTGCATGGATCAGGGAAGTGGGCAGCACACAGAGGAAGCCATTCTGCGACATCTTGGGATATCTTGAGCCATCTTGGAGGTCATCTTGGGCTCTCCCAGGCGCTCTTGGAGTCATCTTAATCAGTACCCCCCCCCCCCAAGAGGCCAACATGTGGTTAAAACCTTCGTGAAATCAATGAGTTGGCATTCTCGCCGAGGAGCATCTTGTGTGCCTGTGGGGGGTCTTTTGGGAGACTCTTGGGGGCCTCCTGGGGGCCTCTTGGGGGCCTTTTGGGGCCGTCCTGGGGCGGACCTCTTGGGGTCTACTGGGCGCTTCTTGGGGCCACCTTGGAGGAGATCGATCAAACAAGAGGGGAGCATTAATTAGCGTCCCCCCCCCAGAGGCCAAACTGGTGCCAAAACCATAGTAAAACCAATGATTTGGGCTTCCTCGCCGAGGCCGTTTTGTCATTCTCACCGAGGCCTCTTGGAGCATTTTGTGTGCCTCTGGGGGGTCTCTTGGGGCCTCTTGGGGGTCTCTTGGGGGCCTCCTGGGGGCCTCTTGGCTTGGGGCCATCTTGGGACCTCTTGGGACCTCCTGGGCGCTTCTTGGGGCCATCTTGGAGGAGATCGATCAAACAAGAGGGGAGCATTAATTAGCGCCCCTCCCAGGATGCCAACATGGAGCCAAAACCAGAGTAACCGAAACTAATTTGGGCTTCCTCGCCGAGGCCGTTTTAGCATTCTCGCCGAGGCCTCTTGGAGCATCTTGTGTGCCTCTGGGGGGTCTCTTGGGGCCTTTTGGGGGTCTCTTGGGGGCCTCCTGGGGGCCTCCTGGGGGCCTCTTGGGGCCATCTTGGGGCCACCTTGGGACCTCTTGGGGCCTCCTGGGCGCTTCCTGGGGCCATCTTGGAGGAGATCTATCAAAGAAGTGCGGAACATTAATTAGCCTTGCCCTCCCAGGAGGCCAAAATTGGGCCCACACCTTGGTAAAATCAATGATTTCGGCTTCCTCGCCGAGGCCGTTTTGGAGGCTCTGACACCTCGCGCCCCCCCCCCCCCCCTCCAGGTCCACGGGGAGGGGGTAGGGGGAGAAACCCCTCCCCGAACGGCAAGAAGGAGGGGTGGAAGAGGAAACGCTCTAAACCACCGACACTCAGAGAGCTGGTGGGATTATAGGAGTACCGCGTAACCTTGGCATGAACCCCCACCAGCCCATCCAGAAGCGATGCCCAGAGGAATTGCCTGGATCAGGGAAGTGGGCAGCACACAGAGGAAGCCATTATGAGACATCTTGGGGTATCTGGAGCCATTTGGAGGTCATCTTGAGCTCTTCCATGCGCTCTTGGAGTCATCTTAATCAGTGCTCCACCCCAAGAGGCCAACATGTGGTTAAAACCTTAGTGAAATCAGTGATTTGGCATTCTCGCCGAGGCCTCTTGGAGCATCTTGTGTGCCTCTGGGGGTCTCTTGGGGCCTCTTGGGGGTCTCTTGGGGGCCTCCTGGGGGCCTCCTGGGGGCCTCTTGGGGGCCTCTTGGGGCAATCTTGGGGCCACCTTGGGACGTCTTGGGGCCTCCTGGGCGCTTCTTGGGGCCATCTTGGAGGAGATCGATCAAACAAGAGGGGAGTATTAATTAGCGTCGCCCCCCAGGAGGCCAGAACGGGGCCCACACCCTGGTAAAATCAATGATTTCGGCTTCCTCGCCGAGGCCGTTTTGGCATTCTCGCCGAGGCCTTTTGGAGCATCTTGGGTGCCCCTGGGGGGTCTTTTGGGGCTTCTTGGGGGTCTCTTGGGGGCCTCAGCGTCGCTGCCCAAGAGGCCACAATGGGTCCAAAACCTTAGTAAAACCAATGATTTTGGCTTCCTCGCCGAGGCCGTTTTGGACGCTCTGACACCTCGTTGCTCCCGCCCTTCCAGGTTCATGAGGAGGGGGTAGGGGGAGGGGTAAACCCCTCCCCGAAGGGCAAGAAGGAGGGGTGGAAAAGGAAGCGCTCTAAACCATCGACGCCCAGAGGGCTGGTAGGATTATCTCTGTTCCCCGTGCCTTAACCGGACGAACGGCATGAGACCATGAAATTTTGAGATCGATACGAATTGTTCAAATACGCGCGCGGCTGATGTGAAACATTTACAGCACCATCCGTACCATTGCGGTTGCTTATTACAAAATTGTATCCATTCGTCGTAATGCCGATTGGGAATGTCGTGCTGTTTCTTGAGCAGACCAACGCGATAATAACGAAGACATAGTGGTGTTAATGACCATAATCGCATGACAATTGCTGCATTCACCTATTTGCACGCGATTGTTTGCAAGGTTGGAAATAGTAGC